TGTTCTCCACTGAAGGTGGCTGTAGAAGAGAGGTTTTAGAAATAACAGATATTCAGAAAAGATTTTCCAGTTCTTGATTCACCACATTTTCTTGCTTTCCTTTGCAGCACTTCATATTTAAAGCTGGTTCACTAATTTCACACAGCCAGGACATAACAGTCTGATGTGATTCAATAGTAAAATTGAGAACAAGAATATTATGTGTAAATAGGTGAACTAAAGTAAGATTCATGTTGACTTTTCTTTGGAAATATTCAAACCAGAGGAAACTGTAAAACCTTCCTAGTTCTGATATTTTGACTTGTATTATGACTCTACTTCATGATAGCAGTTTGCAATTTGAAAATAAAAAACACTATGACAATTCACAAAGTCAAAATGCTTTATTTATACTGAAATTTAGCAAGTACATTTTTAACAAAGAAGATGTGCTTTAACTTAATATGTGGTGAAACAGAAAATCATACATATAAGCTTCTAGTCTCTAAAACACTACTGCATTTTTTTTCCTTAAAAGACAAAAAGTCAAGCTGAAGTGAGCATAGAAAAGCATCAAATATGGTCAAGTTACTTTAGCCATTAGGATTTAGCTCATATTCTTAAACTGATCAATCTAATGTGAGGACAAAGTTTACATCATTTAAAATTTACACTTTTCATTTTTAAAAAATGTAATATAGATTGAATAGCTGCTTCAGAAAACAAAGCTTTGCTGATAAACACAATTGAAATTACTCCATGTTGAATAGTTTCAGAGATAAACTGGAATCACAAGCATCTTCATTTATGTAAAGCCAGCGAGGACCTTTCAGGCTGAATAAAACTGTTGGGCCATTGCTAAACAGTAATAGTTACCTCCTTTAAAAAAAAGAAAACAAGTTAGTTCTTCTGAGGAATAATTCTGATTCGTGCTTAAAATACTAAATTTCTATCTTCAGGAATGTAAATGATCTATGAAGCAAACTTGTTTTAGTATTGGTAAAAATTAAATTTCTTAAGATTTCTACATGTCAATGTGTCAGTTTATGAAGATCTTCCAAGTTTCATGCTACAGCTTCTGTTCTTCTCCCCACAGCACTGAATACATTGAAGATAGGTAAGACTCTCTTCATGAACTATGATGTCCATAGTTATCTATATTACTTTGTCATTTGTATATAATAATACATTAAAGATACCTATAGTTTACCAAAGCGGGGAGAAAGGAATGTCTGGTTATGATCTACGACAATGTCATCTTTGTACATTTAGAATTTCCTCTCTCCTGGTTAGCCTTGAGACTTCAGATATTGCATGAAAGAAGGCTTGTTCTGAATATCATTTTAACCAGAGTATTTGGTCAAACAAGTATGTATTTAAATGCTTGTAATCAAAATGATCCATACCATACTAGATTTAGAAAATATTTGATAGTATGGGTAAAAATCACAGTCGCAAACAATTTTCTAAAAAAAACAATTCTACCTCTTTTTGTCTAACTTTGCTCTTTTTCACAGACATGGATTATGTTCTAAGTCTCTGTCCAGTTACCTTACTAACAAGGTCCTTTGTTTACAAAAGAACCAGCAAAGAAAGTGTGGGTAGATCAATATAGTTCCATAATCCCTACTTGAGAAACATTAAAGTCCATGTTTGTGGGCCAATGGATCATCTTCATACATAAAGGAGAGCATATTATCATTGTTGGACTGATATATCTGGCCCAAAATATTATTTCAGTGTACTCAAAGCTTTGTCAGAAGGAAAATATATCCCCTTTAAAACTTGTATATAAAATATTTAAAATACTATTCTTTCTGTGTAGAAAGTTGGAAGAATTTTCTGGATAATACTTCAGGAACAAAAGTAAAGATGTGGTAAGGTAACAAAAGGATAAAAGACTTTGTGCCTATGTTACTCAGACCAGCTGGAAAATCAGACTTCATGAGACAGGAATGAGACATTTTAACAAATAGCCCATGGAATTCACCTGAACTTTTCCATGGACCAGAATAAAACAAAGCTTGAATTTGTGGAAACTGCCTAGTAGTCTGTCACCTCCAGATAATTGCTCAGACTCCTTTGTGGCATCTGAGAAATTTATTCTGATAAATTTACCAGATAGTTGCTCAGTTTTTCCAATCTACCTCACCCTCTCTATATACAGCCTGTCAAAGGAAAGTTCTTCAACATCAAATGGAAGAGTCATTTTACCAGGATTGAAATTTATACAATACAGCTAAAGTTTAAATCATGCAACACAAACTGCAAACATTACAAACTTTAAAGCAACAGCAAAACAAAATATTATCTATCCTATGAGAAATAGTACACAAACATAACAACGGATGGCAAAAAAGTCATCACCATTTGTTCAATAGAAAAATGAAGCTTCTGAAAAAAACTCTCCCTCCTTTATCACAATTAATTATTGTCTTTATTTAAAAAGACAAAAATATCTACCCACACCCTCATTTAATGTGCCAGTTTGCAAGGCCTATCAGGAGCAGTTTCCACAACAGCTTGAAAATCTAAAGAAAACTAGACAAGCAAGAAGACAATATTAATGTGAATCAATTTTTCTATCCGGAATACAATAAATTGAGATTTTATAAGAGCAAAATTTTTCTCCTGATTTAGAGGATAGTTGCAAAATACACTCCTTTGTAGCATGCTGTATTATGTTGACACAAATTCTGTTACTGTTTTACATAAGCCAATACTGAAGAAGGAGGCAATATTGACCTGCTAACTGACACAGATCCTTGGAGCAATCTCAAAGTTTGCCACGTTTCAATTTCAAAATGCATTTCAGCCATAATATGAGTGATTTATCATTTAGTAGTAGCTGTCAAAGTAAACTCCTAGATAAAGCAAAAACATCTGGAAGCATAAACAGAGGAGAGCAGTAGCTGAATTTTAATCCAAAACCAGCGTGCTCACTTCATTAGGAACAGGAAACAGCTAATTAGTAATTGAATGTTTCATCTTTTTAAAATGGTTTGTACTTGAGCTCCAAACAGAGATGATCTAATACGCATTCAGGATGTAAACAAGATTAAAAATCAGGAAGAGCAGCAAACAAAGCCTCTCCAGAGGAATGTTAGGGAGCTTGGGAACTTACAAGGAGTGTCACACACTGACTGACATTTGGGGAAAGCAGATAGAGTTTATTGTTTTAAGGCTTATCAGATAAATAAAAGGGATAATTCAATACAAGCAGATGTGTATGTTGGTCTGGTGTGATTCCCTCCAAGCAGAAGATGAGCCTCTTCTGATCAGTTGAGTTATCTTTAAAGGGCCAGATCTGGCTATCCAAATTCAAGTTAGCATGAAACCTGCCTACTGTGGCATGTATTTGAGACTTATTAAATGGAAAAAGTTAAAATCAGATGTCATAAAGGCAGACATGTGAGAAAAGACTAGGGAAAACACAAGAGGATTCCTTATAGTTCAACCAAAATTAATCAAGCATATTTGTAAAAAGCAATAGTTTTTTTTAAGTGATTTAATGTATAATGTTGTTTAATTTCTCCTTTAATATGATGTTTAACTATCAAATGATGAGCATTTCTAGACGTTGTATTTTTAGTCACCACTTTGTAATCAATTCAGAGATTTGATATTAATTTTTTTTAACTTTATTTACCTTAGTCCTTCTCAATGGCCTATTTCTGATTGGAATTATTTCACAATTTGGGTTAAATCAGCACACCAACTCTATACAAGTAGACATATAGTCTTGAGAGAGCACCAGAAACCAGATGTCTGTGCTTTAGAAGAAATTGCTTTAAGAGCTAGAATGATTGGAATGTCACATGAGCTAATTTAATATTTAAAAATGTGTATGGTAGGTGTCCTTTCCAGAAGAAATTGTATGATTGTCGCAGGGAAGTGATTATTAGAGGATGAATAAAAACTCAGTTGGCCTTTTGTATATTATGAGTGGAGCTTTTGCTATTTCAGAACTTAATTCTAGGACAGATGTAGAAATATAATAAATTAGATTTCACTTTGTATAAGTATGTCACTTAAGGAGAGGCATTAAATCTTTTTTTTTTTTTTGATCACTAGAATCCCACTTAGCACATTGTGATATTGCTCTATTAGATTCTTAGGAGGTATAAGCTTCATTACATAAATCATTAAAATATTTGAGGCCATTTCCTGGACAATTCCAGCCAAATCACCCATTTTGTTCTAATCATTGGAACATCTTAGGCAAATGGTCATGTCTAGAACAGAGAGTGAGCAGTGGCAAATATCCATGATGTAACTGACCCATCCTATCTGCCTTTCTCCTGTCTTGTGTCTCTATATATTTTAGTCTATTTGCTGGTAGCTAAATTGCTAAAGAGGAAGCAGGATTAAGGATGGGAGGAGAGTGGATAAGAATTAAGAGGGGTATTTTCAGTAGCTTGGCTGTGTGTTTTTATTATTGCCTTCTTTACAGATAAGGGAATTGCTAGCAGATAGAAAGAAATTAAATAACTTGTTGCACCATTGACAGAGCAAAGAACTAGGTGTAGTGAAGTCCACAAACTACCACTTTCAATTCCCTTAGAGAACACTAGAGGCAATGTATTCATTTTAGAAAGATGATCTCCACAGCAGTGAAAACAAATATTGATCATTTACATAAATTAATTACCTCCCGACATAATTCCTATTTTTCTTGTCAGTCAAATATAAATCTATTTCATAGTAATCACAGCTTAAAGTGGGTGTGTCTGTATTTTAAATTTTATCACACAAAAAAAGCTTTTTTTCTGTCTTAAAAACTCTTCCACTTACTTACCCACTACGATGCTGTGTGGATTAAAGTGAAAATGTTTATGAAGTACTATGAACTTCATGGAAGAAAGGGGCTATAGAAGAATAAAGTATCATATTCAATCATCAAGATTATCCCCTAAAAACATGTGAAGCCCATTCTCTAGCACACTTTTTCCTGTACGTGCAAGTTTCTATTTATTAGTAATGAACAAATAGTAATCAAAGGTTTCATATTTTAAGAATTGGAGTATGAATTCTAAATAATTACAACACTAGATAAGCAGGTAACTGCTACAGCACCCTATTCGTGCCTATGATCAGTTGGAGTTCCGGCATCAGTGTTCAGGCTGTACAGAAAAAACAATAAGACCTGGTCACAATTTCATTCCAACAAAGAAAATCCAAAACCCTCTCAATGAACTTCACCGAAAACCACAAATGGCATTGTAGTATTTTGCTGTTATGCTCAACATTTGAATAAATCTGTGTGCAATAAATGCATGTATTAGATTTATCTTTCAATCATATTCATTGATGTGACTTTCATTCTATTAAAAATGAAATTATGCAATGGCAAGCAAGCATTTACAGTAGTTTAAAGCTTAATCTTATTCTCTGGGGATAATACTGTCACTATAAGGATGGTGTAAATGATATTCCTTAACTCTAAGATCTGCTTATGAGCCCCTTGTGCATGTTTTAATGTTTTATAACCTGTAGTGAGACACATGACTAGCTTAACAAGCAAGGCATTTAGATAGGATTTTTTGTCCCTTCACAGTTTAAAATATGAGTAAATATTCACACAATTTTCTGTGAGTCAAAATCTTTGTTACTGATTGCGGTTTTCCATCAGGATGGGATTTCTTCCCCTGATAGTATGGTTACTTAAAAATAACTTTTCACTTTTTATGTACTTATATCTACAAGTCATATGCAGTGTTGTAAATTAATGTTACCTCAATTAAAAATAAAATAAAATACAAAATTACCAAGAAAAATACTATAATATTTTTGATGTTTTAAATTTGTGTTAAAAATAATAATTTTTTCCCAACCAGGGCTCATGTTTCCTTCTATCTCCTCACCACTTATTCACTTAGATGAACAATGGTATTTCCTTAAGAACTAATAGTTTTCGTTGTAGGCATTCTTTTTGCTGTCAATCATTTTGGAGGTAGGTAATTTATTTGAACTGATGGTAATATTTTATAGATGCTTTCTCAATCTAAGTGTTAAATTTCCTGTTTTCTCTAAGTTGCTTAATAAGTGATACTTTCCTAACCTGTATTTATACAAGAACCTGAGTACAGGCCAGATGCGGGGGAGGGTGAGAAGATTCACCAGAGACAGAACAGCGAACAGAACAGGCAGACTGATGAAATACACCACTGAGGGGCGCAGCGGGCGAGACAGGAGAGGTCTGCTGCGCCATGTGGGACCCTCGCTGGCTGGCTGGGATCAAACCCGCGCTGCAGAGGCTGTGGAGAGCCTCACAGTGCGGCGCTCAACCACCTGAGCCAACAGGGAGGCCCTGGTGATAATTTTTATAATGCGGCACTTTCATTTTTTTCCTCTAAATTTATTTACTTATTTTATTACTTCATTGTTCATTTTTGTACAGTAATTGGTTCCTCCCCTCAGGTGTAATCCCTGTAGTTGTCCAGCACCATAGCACCTGTGAACCATCAGCATAGGTCCTTGTACTCTTCCCTCCTCATTGTGGCACTTTTTTTGAGTAGAGATTTCTTGAAAATAAAAGTACTTAGCCTTATTCTCCAAAAAAAAACTGTCTAATTTATACTTTAATTAAAATTAACACCAGTATAGGACATCATTCTTTTGCAAATGATATTATAATGGAATATCAACTTCATTTGATTACTTTTAATTAACTGTTTTATTAATTAATCCTTTAATTTCCCCATTTTGCCTTTATTTACTATTTACTTCTACGAGTCACCCTAAAAATGGAACATGGATACCCTTCTAATTTCACTTAGGGATAAAATATAAAAATATATTTATTATAACTATATACTGAAAAGCATATATTTTAAGGAAAGTTTTGGACACTAATTATGTATCAAATATTTCACCCTTACAAACATGTACATATGCAATGCAAATACTAACTTCATATGTATTTCATAGATCACAGTCATGATATATTGTACTTATCACACTTGTCAGAGTGTATGTATCTAACTTTTACATGAGGAAAATTAGTGTGCAGTATTGTAAGTAAAATTAAGACAATAGAGGTTGAATGACTTCTCAAGGTTAGTAACTGAGTTAGTGATTTAACTACTGAGACCACGACTACTAGGCCAGTGCTCATCATAGTTCATTGTGCCTCCCAAGATGAGAGTTATAAAATGACAATAAAAGTACATGTGTCCAGTACACAAACCTGCAAATTTTGAGCCACATTAGGAGTTCTAAATGTACTTAAATTCTATTTTTCAACATGGAAGACAAGGAAAGGGAAAGGAAGATAAGTACAAATTAGTTTTATTAAACACTATGGTGAGTCATATTAAACCATCTAAACACTTCTGTCACAAGTAGAATGCCACATCCTTTCACTACTTCTTTTTTTTTTAAAGAAACATGTATTTTTATTTATTTGTTTGTTTGTTTGTTTGTTTATACATGCACTGGGTACAATCAGAGGCGCAGAGGGTGAGAGAATTCACCAGAGCCAGAGCGGGGAGCAGAGCAGGCAGAAGGACCGAAGTACACTGCTGAGGGGAGCAGCGGGGGGCAGGAGAGGTCTGCACGCCATGTGGGACCCTCCTCTGGTGGCCGGGGAGCAGCCGGGGATCGAACCAGTGCAGCAGAGGCTGCGGGCAGCTTCGCAACCCAGCGCTCAACTGCTGCGCCACAGGGGAGGCCCCTTTCACTACTTCTTTTTTTTTTTAATTTTTATTTATTTATTTTTATTTATTTATTTTTTTTATTAAATAATAAATTTTATTTTTATATTCCCCCATACAACTGCACATGCCCCATTCTGACCCCAATCCCCCCTTTCACTACTTCTTAATGTAAATAATGCCATGGTGAAAGGCAGTAGCTGCCATTTCTCTAAGAAATCTTAGGTTGCATTATCCAAAATGTGTCATAAAGATCAAATTTATTTGAGGTTTGTATAGGATGCATGTTGGAAACCATTTAATGTGATAAGTAAAAGCACAATTAAGTTACTCTTGATAATGACTTTAACTACTTTTGTATGCTAAATTAATAGAAAACACAGTAATTCTTCATTTCAAATTAATAACAATATGAAATCAAAATATGGTGGAAAGTGAACATGGAAGTAATGGAAAAAGATTAAATGTTAAGAATGATAACATCTATTATTTTCCATAGAAGGCTGAAGTCAGTTACGCAGGTGTTTGTAAATTTTGAGTTGCACGTTTTTCCTTATTCATTTTGAGTAGTTGTTCAAATTAACAGGGCATTCATTAGTATTATTTTACAGGAAATATGAAATTTAAGCTTGTATGGAAGAATAAGAAAATAAAGTATAAATATAAAAATGATGCTTTCTTCAAAATTAATAGAGTAAGTGGTGAAGATGTGCGATCAACCCTTTGCACCATTGAAGTAAAACAGATTTCATCTTAAGCATGTGAATTACCACCAATCTTAATTTTCAAACATTAAACAAATAAATCATAAACTTTGGGATGTAGTCAACAGATTGGGGGACTTCAGGGAAGTCTGTAAAAAATTCTAAAAAAAATGTTCTTTAAATTCACTTTAATTTCCAAAATTGAATGACAGAGGGCTATCATAAATGAGAAAGAAATTCTGTAGTGCAAACAAATCAAACTTTAAGCTAATATCCCATATTAAGGAATCCTGGACGAAAATTAGATTACTGAGGATATGTTAAAGTCTAGTTCTGATAGAGTTATGTGAGATTAGGACAAATAGAAGTTTTAGTCTATTACTATTCCAGATTATCCACAGTTCTAAATAGAAGTTTTAAATAGAAAATTTAAAACTTATTTTTGTAAGTTTTATAAGTATTACTCCAATCTCTGTAATATTTTAAGGGCAAAGTGATTGTTTAATTATAGATGGTTTATTTAAAAAAATATATAGCTGGTTTTAGGCTGCATTGAGAGAAAATGCAGAGAAAAAACTGGAGAGTTTTTTCCCCACCCAGTTTCTGTTGCATTGTTTTTCATGGGATAATAATATAGACTAGTTAAATAGGCTAGCTAGCTAATTAACTGTCAGATTTTTATAGGTATCAATTGACAGTGGGAACAATGGGAGAGGCAGTTAAGATTGGCAAGACAATTACCTTCTCTTGAATTATTTCCTTACTTACAACATGGGGGAAGGGGGTGTTAATCATACTTTCACTGTCGCACAAGGATAATCCTATGTTTAAGAATGACACATAGACACGATTCTCTTTCTAATGGAATTGTTAGCCAGAGAACTAACAATCTTCAACCTGCTTCAACAATAATTTGTGCAGTGGACAAGAAAGCAGTCAAATTCTAAAAACATTAAAAAATCAAAATCCTCAAGTGGAAACGAGACTGGAGGAAAATTAGAGCAAAGACACTTGAATTTATTTATTATTTGAGTTCCTGGATTCAAGCTCTGAACATATAAATGGAAGTTTCAGTCACCCAATAAGCTACCTTTTAAAATTAAACACCCTCTTCATGAAAGGAAAAGAAATAGTGTAATGTTCACCAGACTACCAATACTAGGTATTGATTTTATTTTTTTCATGATTTAAACTTTAGGTTAGTAATTCCTCATTCCAAGAATAATCACCTTGGCATAGAACTTCCACACATATATGAGGCAGAAGTTTAATAATTCTAAAGGTTTTTTTTTTTAAGTTGCATAACAACGACAGAATTATTGCCTTCTACAAACATGTATTCTTTCTTTTTTAAAATACAAATACGAGAGTGAAAACTAAAAATTAATCTTTGAATCAGAGAAAGACTTTTCCTTTTGCATGTTCCTCAGGTATATCTGGTTTTGGGGTGAGGTAGAATAAATCCTAAGCCTAAAAAATATATTGCGTATGTAAAGAGGGTGGAATATAAAGTAACTGGTTAAGCAGTCATCTGAGTGAACTTAAATATTTTTTCCTGGATTATAGCCAGAAAGACCTGTGAATGAATTAGTTCTACACACTTGAAGATGTTAAGTAATGAAACAACTAATTTTGGCTTGCAAGTCTCACTATCTTACTATCATTACAACTACAGTTTCACCTATTATATGAGTGAGATGTAACTGGAATTGTAAAAGTTAGATCTGTAGATAAGATTTTATGTGGTCATGATAACTAGTGTAA